GGGAACCCCTTTCAGGCCTAAGTTTATATGGTAGTTGTCAAAATCCCTTTTTGGGTACCCGAAATATCAGGTGCCGTATTATAATAAGGGCCCAAAAAGGGACCCTAATATTGACAACCACCAGGTACAAATCCGAAACCCTGAACCTTGCACCCCACCTCATCCCACAGATGAAAGATCTTGAACTCTCAATCCTTAGACCCCAAACTCGAAAGCCAAATTCCCCGTTTAGTTTGTAGATGGTGGGGTGTAGGGGACTGTTTAGGGTCTACCTTAAACTACTACAGTCTACTTTTTGCAGGTTCTTCTTGCAAACCCTAATTAATATGGAAATTATATGGACCCTACAAGAAATCAGGTATCTGTAGTTTACTATTTACGGTAGGGTTTTGCTTAAAGTTTAGGGTTGGGTTGTCTTTGCCCAGCTCTGGCCGTTCTTTGTCGGTAGGTGCCCCATCTGCGAAGGCCGCTGTCTGACCCTCCGAACATATCAAACCTACCCTGGAACCCCAAACGCTAAACCCCTACACCCCTAAACCCTGCAAACCTAATGTCTGTCGAGGCCTACTCCTGCTTGTTGTCCCGAGGCTCCTGGCACATGGAGAGCGGCCTCCCAGCACTTGGCCAGTGACGCTCACGGCCGCTCGGCTCAACTTAAGACCAGGGCCCATGTGACTAAAGAGTATCTGCTTTGGCCCCAAAGCACCTATATAGGGACCTTGGGAAAGCCTCTGAGTTGGAACTGAGCCGCTGTGCAGAGAGTTTGGTGGTGCAGCTTGTTGCCAGATGTCTCTGCAGAAACCTTGTGTCAGCTCGAACTAACCCATCGATGTCGTTTGTCCTAGGACTTCATTCTTCACTTCCCCTTCTCAGGTATCGCTGGTAGTCTACCTAAGACTAGAGCAACCTTTATCTAGCTGAAGCATCACCTACTGATGTGTCCACCTACCTGCGTGTCCGTCTATATAAAGCCATGAAGCGCTCTACCCTTGCATTCATCTATCTGCACATGTTTCTTGGCCGTCCTGACGCAGAGACTAGGGCAATCGTTCCCCTTTTTCCTTCTATTCGCTCATGCGCTAAATGGAAGCTTCCCGAACCCAAGGGGTCGACAAAGTCGCTGAATGCCACAGGCTTCCGGGTGTGTTGAGGGTTCGGAGCACTTGATCGTCACAGAGACGAGGTGACAATGTTGAGAAGCCAGAACGGATTTTCCAGTGCTCATATCCATAACCTCCCCGAGCCCTGAATAAGCCTAACAAGGAGGCTTCAGGGTTGACAAGTTTCGCGCTTGCCATCTAGGCAACCGTTTGTTTGCTGCTGGGTGCGCTCGCGCTTGTGGCGCGGTTCATGCCTCTTGGTCGATGAATCTGGGGTTCGCGTGTAGCAACTGGATCTTGATGGTGATTCAACAACAGGATCAGGTTCATAAAGGATGTCGGAAGTCGTTCGGTGGCTTACAAGGCTCGTTTAGGATGTCCGCGGAGTACCACAGGGGCAGAGTTGATGCGTTTCAGTTTCATGAAGGGTTGCGAAGGCGAGAATGGCGTAGGGTTCATGAAGAGCCATCTCTCTGACAAAGCTCGACTGCAATATCCTCCTGGGAATCTTATTTACTGTCAAAGTCAGGGGATTGTTCGACCTTCCTTATACATGTGGTGCACGTCGCCGGGGTGAGATTGCAGATAGAGAACAGTTCTAGGTGCATGCAATATCTTGGGGAGGTGATGAGGCAGCTGATGGTGGTGATGGTGACCACTACAGTGAGAATGATCATTGCCATATGGCCAGGATGATGTGACGATGATGAAAAAGAAGGTTATACTGATGATTATCAGGACTTCGATGACAATGTTGTCGATGGTGATGCCGATGTTGATGAAGGTGGCAACAACAATGGCTGTACGTACAAATAGGAGGGGGGGGGGGCGTGATGCGGTTTTTGGGTTTTCAATGCACCCTGCCGGTCCAGATGCCCGGACAGTTAAATCGTTTTTTCACAGTAAGTATAGTCTCCATTGTAGTTCCTTTTTTTGGTTTAACCAACTATATATTAAGGATCCCAAAAGGTAACACCAAAAAGGAAGTACAGTGGAGACTATAGGTAAGTATTATAGACGAACCTCGGAAAGGCCCCTGAGAGGCCAGAGCGTGTACTATGTGGGTGCAGTAAGCTAAAGCGCTGTAATAAACCGTCCCACACACCCCATAAAACACCAGTCAAGCCAGAATACAACTTTAAAGGAACTCACAACAGATCGTTAGGGGCTTGAAGAACCCGAGTTTTCAGAAGTCCAAACAACCACGTTAGAACCCTATATATTAGAATGAAGCTATACATATATATTATACAGATGGTTATTTATGTGTTCATTCACTTATCATTCATGTAGTTGTTTTTCGTTTATCTATGGGTCTACTTGTCTTCTACTGCCAAACCAGAGACAAAACCTGCTGCTGCAGACGGCGCTGCCGTGCGTCGGCTCGGGTGGCCTCGGGCACCTACCACCTTCTGCCAGAGCCAGATGCTTCCTAAAGCCAGCATTGAGGGTTTCTTTAACGGTTCTTTAAGGGTTTTTTTTGCTCGGCAAAGGTTTCTATAAAGGTTGCTACAGAAGTTCCGGCAAGCGCTTTTCAAAGGGCGTTGTAGGCTGAGGGCTTAGAGCTCAGAAGCTCGAAACCCTCTGCATCCCGAGACCGTAGGTGGTCGTACAGTCTTGCTGTCCTAAACCCTAAACCCTATATAAACCCTAAACCCTAAACCCTAAAAGCCTAGAAATGAGAAGACCAACAGTCTCCTTACTTTTACTGTAATGCACCCTAAACCCTATCCTACAGTAGTTACTGAGGACCTTATATTACCATATACAGTGTCTCAGGACCTCCCCTTAGCAATTGAATCGAGAAGATATCTCGAGCCCCAAGTGCGGGACCCGCAAAGTTTCAGAAACTTGCAGATTATGCCAGTGTCTGGCATGATTGTTGTAGAGCTCTTTGTGATTGGGCGGCGATGATGCTGTGCCGATGCGGACCCGGCTGCCTGGTGCAAAATGACTTCTGCGAATCCTGAATTATTGAGTCCTTGTAGAAATTACAGATCCCCTCAACGAACCCTGGAAGGAAACCCGTAAAGGAGTACCCTTGGGGAAAGGCTCTGGGATGTGGGGGTTTTAGGGTTTATAGGGGTTTATGGTTTCGGGGTTTAGGGTTTAGGGTTTATAGGGGCCTCATACATGCGTGGGCTTTGGGATTTTTCCGTTTGCATTTTAGCGCGGTTAATAAGGGCTTTGGGAGCGTTACCAGGCCCTTACCTGCCTGAGTGATTCAGGGCTTGTAGGGATTCCTCAGGGCTTAAACGGTGCTGAGCCTTCGCTCTCTTTTTGTGTTTCGTGTTGTTTGGGGCGCTTTAGGACTTAACCTTGGAGCTTTAGGGCTTTAAGGAGGCGTGGAGGGTCTTCAGGTTTGTTGATCCTGCTTCACGCATTATTAAAGGATCTAGCGTTTTGGGTTCCCGGTTTAGTACCTGACGTCCTTCGAAGGACCTCGGTTCCTGAGGCCACGATATTAGCCCGATATCGCAGGAGCTGCAGATACCCGAGGCACAAACTTTCGCAAGGCATGGTGGGGCCTCGTTGGGAGTTTCGCGAATTTGTTGGCCAATGACGTTTCCTGGTCGTGTTTGCGCCCAGCCATGCAGGATCGAGGACACGCAGGGTAGTCCTGATTAAGTCGGCCGAAAGACACAACACTTCCAGACTAAACACCATGCGGGTTGAGCTTACAAGCCTAAACCATCAATTAGGTTGGGTTGATTGAGGAGTCTTGGAACTTTTGCGAGCGTAACATTGCCTAGAGGTTCGTGTTCCAGATCAATCTCTGGATGTTCTACTTTCAATCAGCAACTGTCGAAAGAGACTCATGTGTACCCTGCAAAAGTCACTGCTCCGACATGTACCGGTTCAAGCGGAGCAAGAATGTTTAGTCGACTACAGCACTGCCACCGGACCTTAAGCTGTGAATGGAGATCGTGCTATCAGCAGCCGAGTACATCAAGTAGCTTCGAAGGCTGGCCGGTGGTGCTTCCCCGAGGGAGAGGGGCTTTAAAGCTGAACATTTGCAATTATGGGGCTGACAAGACATGTTCTTTTCGGCGAGTTCTCGTCCAGGGTATGCACGTAACTGGCAAGTTTCAAGATACAGATACTTGCAATTTCTCTCCGTACAGCTCAGCAGTTAGTATTGTTTGCAGGTTTAAAGGCCTGACACTATGAGTCCGTAGAGCCTTGGGATAAGAGTTGGAGGTTAGAGCTGGGCGTGCTTTGTCATGCGCAGAACGAGCGACCATTCATGATACGGTCAGACGCGCGGCAGCTGTGATTTAGGCGGGAAGTAAGTCAAGATCACATGTAGCTGTTTTACCAGACGCAGATTGGTATTGCATTTGTCCTGGCAATGTACTCTCTCACTGCTCGCAGAGAAGCATCACAAGATGTAACTTAACCTTACTATGTGCATGCACCTATGAGACTGTATATCGACATAGATATCAAGGCAAGACGGCATAGGAACTTGGTGCGATTTGACACGAATGCAACAGTACAACATCCGTAGTTTAACACATTGAGTAGTGCCACAGTTTTGTCTACAGAAAGCATAACAGCAGAAACGCTGTAGCAACATAGTAGCAGGTGGTCTTGTAAACATGTTGGTGTAGGACATAAACAATGCTTCGAAACAAAACAACATTGCATCAGTAGCATAGTCAGCATAGTGTACGTGAGTTGCAATGCAAGACGCTAAAACCGCTTGGCTACAACAAGATAGTGTGGCCCCTCCTTGGGCAGCACATCATATTCCCTGTTGGATGTGTCGTAATATTTTAGCGAGTCCTACACCCAAGCGGCGACGAGCTGAACACAGATTGCCACTACAGAGCAACCCTAAGCTGAAAACTCTAAACCCGAAACTCCGAGATGTTCAAGGCTTGCTGCTTCGGCATTATGACGGCCACGCAGAATGAGGCTCAGAGGGGATTGCAGATTTCCCTTAAACGCACAGCCCTGCACCCTATAACGGCCAAAGCCTCATGTCAATGGGCCCAACAGCCCCAAACTCCTAACTTCTAAACTCTAAGTGGACCTAAACCTATAGAGTACACTTTGCTGCTAAAGTAGGTTTTCGGGCTTCACTGTAAGGCCTGAGAACTTAGCAGGTCGGAAGAGTTGCGAATAGCATTCCTTCCTCAGGGCTTCTTAATTGTTAAATGTTCTAGAGTAGAAATATACATACATACGTCTGTGTGTATACATATATATATATATATATATATATATATATATGTACATCTACATGCATACAAGTGTGTAGAAGAACTTCCCCCTCAATACCCTATTCAAGTCTTTCAGGCCCCTACATTTTTCACTTTCATGGATCCTTGGTTCGGTGTTGCCTTCATCCTGTCCTGTGCACGGGCCGGCATGTATGGGTCCTTAGTCCTGAAATACCCAGACCTTCCAAAATCCCTTAATTAAGGAATATACCTTAATTCATATTTGGGATCCTATTATAATTTAAGGTATATTCCTTACTTAAGGGATTTTGGAAGGTCTGGGTAATTTCAACTACGTTCCCCAGTAGCCTTCAGGGGCTCCTTGCGGCTGACGATATAATCAAAGGGGAAAAGGAGGGACCCTTAACTTAGGGCTCTTATAAGGGTTCCTTTAAAGGGATCTATCAGGGTTTAGGGTTTAGGGTTCAGGGGAAAAGGAGGGACCCTTGATGGGGACCCCTACCCTATAATGGGGCTATAAAATGGGTACATAATAGCTATATAAAGGGTATATACCTAGGGGTCCCTATTAAGGGTCTCTCCTTGGGTATAAATCCTGCACTGCCCATAATAAGGAATATACCACAATTTCCATAGTTTAGGGTCCTTAAGGTAATGCAGGATGTATATCATCAACAGTTATAAAGGGCTTTATAAGGGGTCTATGGGGGTTTAGGGTCTACTAGTCTACTAGTTTCCCCAGAAGCACCCTGTTGCCCTTTCTCTTTTTGGGTTCCCCGGTCAAGACCTAACAGTAGGCAAAAGGGTGCCCTTACTATTACGGGGCTACCGGGGAACCTAGAGAATGAAGGTGTTGATGGACACCATGGCAGAGTTTTACAAGAGCCATCAGGTGAAAGTATGGTTAGTTGTTCTGCTGTCTGTGGTTGATTCTGCAATTTAGGACTCAATGTGCCCGGCAGAAGTCTTGGAAGTATATACCGCCAACCAAGTGGGTCGATATATAGTCCGATTATGAAATTAGGGCCCCAAAGCCACAATAGCCTGACTACCAATCCTGTTCGTTCGGGCTCCTGAAGAGAATTAAGCAGTAGTACCTCCCCCCACCTCTGGTCTAATGATTGAGGCACCGACATCAGCATCATTAAAGACTGATTATAGCCCCGGCAAAGTTGTTTGAGTTCAGGACCGGCGCAATGCCAGCCGGGCGAGCGCGCAGGTGCGTGGCGTGTCATGAAGCTTTCCACTGAGGACCTCACGCTAAACATCTTATGTTTCAGCATAATGCGGCACAACATAGCATGGAACAGCATAATTCAGTTTAACACTGTATGAGTTCGTGTAATATTGTACAACATAGCCTCATACTCTGGATTCCTATGAGGTGTAGGGCATGAATGCCGAATCCCTCTTCCGTACACCTGAATACAAAGACAACCCTAAGCCCTCCTAACCCCCTCAACCCTGATTCCCGAACTCCGGAGTCCTGAAGCAGCAGCTTTTGAGCCAGGGGCTCCCTACAGCAGCAACATCTAGGTTCCGCAGCAGAACCCTTGTGCTCTTGTTTCTGTTTGGGTTCCCATTTCTTGAAACCAACAGGTAGCAAAAGGGTACCCTTATTCTTGAGGGGGTTACGGGGGAACCTGGTCTTGAAACAGCAACATCCGCAGCAGCATCATCATCGCCACCATCACGAGCAACCTTTCTCAACATAGTACTTTCTCGTAGTAGCAAGGAGAGAGATCGCAATCACCGTCTTCAGTAAAGGCTGCCAGCAAATGAAAGCGTTCAAGTTCAAGGCTTGCCATGGTGAAACCGAGGGGGATGTGAGTTTCGGGAGGATTTCACCAACCAACATGAAGCTTGTATCTGCGGATTTCTTCAGCGCCCCTCTCCTCCACAGAGAAGCAGGAAGACTCTCAACTTGAATCCCGAAAGCCGAAAACCGTAAAGCCCTAAGCTCCAAATTCCTTCAACGGATGTTCGTCTGCACAAACTAGGGGTCCTTAGTTGCAGCTCCTCGAACGTCAGCTTATCCTCAGATTCTCAACCCAGTTTCTGGCCTAGGGATTGAACCGACAGTATGTCGGTCTTAACCGACCTTGGGTTTTGTGCTTTAAGATTTCTAGGTTCAGTGGAAATTTTGCTTCTCCTGCTTAGTCGGTAATAGCTGACTTATGGCCCGTCTTTGACAGAATTTCCTGAAGGCATATTCTAACCATTCAAAACTAAAACGCATGCCCTACATCCCTTGTTCATGAAACATGGACCCTCAGCCCCTGCAGCTCAGCTTGCGCCCGGAACTCATGGCCCGAAATCCTATACATTAGGAAATTTCTGTTTGGGACTCACGGTGTGGGTACCGGTATGGGATGGTAGAGGGCCTAGTATAGGGCTCCAGGGGATTAGCATTCATGATCTCGGCTTTGTTCGTACATGTTTGACCTCCACCTAACTTTCGGCTTGGTAATTGAAACCTCGAAGCCCAAACCCGAAAGCTTGGACCGCACCCAGAGCCTGGGCTTTAAGCCTTAGATCTGAACGTCAACCCCTAAGCTTTGAACGTTCATTGAAACCGGCCCTAGACCCTAATAGGGGGGCCTTGATAATTAGAACCGCGTTTTGGGGGCCCCTGAGTATACTGTGATGTACCTTCATTAACCATTCCACCCATCCCGTTGTCAGGGGTTTGGTTCTGCTGCTGCACGAGGTGACTGAGATAAAGTTGGGCTTCGTGCATTCTTTGCCTTCGGAAATACTTATCGTCTCCATTGTAGTTCCTTCTTGGGGTTACCTTACAGGACCCTACCTATTTAATTGGTTATATAAACCAAAAAAAGGAACTACAATGGAGACCATATGCAGAGGTTAGAAGCTGCCCCCACCCTGTAATAGCGACTATAAGGATTCTATTAGGGCCCTATTATATTCCTATTATTCCACTATTACAGGGTGGCGGCCCCTTCTAAGGTAGAGGCTTCTGGTTTAAGTTGAGGACACGGGGTTCGGGGGGTGTTGCTTGGAGTTTTGGACAGGGTAGTTTGGCGTGTTTCGGACCACCGAGCCTCGCGAACCCCAAGCCCTTAAAAGCCCACGCCCAAACCCTAGATAGTTACCTTAATTAATATTTTGGGGATCCTTATTATAAGTGTATAGTATAATGGGCCCCAAAATTCCAGTCTAATTATTAAGGCCCCTGCATTGAATCCCAAACCTTAACGTGAGCAATGCAGTCGGTGTACCGGTGCCCTTCAGGCTGGATCCCACATTTGTTGTTCAGGGGTGGCCCAGACGTTGGGCTTGCCTATAGTCTCCATTGTAGTTCCTTTTCTTGGTTGAACCAATTATATATTAAGGATCCCAAAAGGTAACACCAAAAAGGAACTACAATGGAGACTATAGGTTGTGCTTGATATGTCTACACGCATAAATCCGAACCTGATTATGGTGTTGAGTTTGGGGGTGTGCGGTCCAAGGATACTCGGCCATGAGGTCGAGTTCCTGACTTTGTAAACAATGTGTGTTTCTGTGAATGTGAATATATATATATATATATATATATATATATATATATACACACACATGCTTGCATAGACACAAGAATATCTGCATGCCTGCATGCACGCATGCTTGAACAAGCACTGGCATGCATGCCTGCCTTTCCGTCCGCCTACCTGTGCACACCGACCTACATACATACCGCACCTACATACGTACATACATACATGCATGCGTACATGAACAAACATGCTTGCCCACATACACACATACATACCATGTTTACAGCAAGATTATATACACGTGTGCATGCATGTGTGTGCATGTACATTACATGTTTTGGTACAGGCAGCTCGATAGATAGGTAGATGGGTATATAATCGTTTAGAAATATGTAGATCGACGGCGGACAGACAGACCGACAGATACAGATAGATAGATAGATAGATAGGCAGATAGATAGGGAGCAGTTAGAGGGGCCGATTGATCGATCGACCGGTTGATAAACAGCAGCCATGCAGCTGTGCATTTGCACATCCACAAGCACGACCAGGTACACACATATTAGTATGTATGTGTAACTAATAAGTAGAACTATATACGTACATAAATACATAAGTATGTAAATAAGTATAGAAGTATAAGAAAGTTTAACTACACGTGTTTAGAATCGACACATCTATATGTGCATGAGTATGTATATGTATATGTATATGTATATGTATAGGTATAGGTATAGGTATAGGTATAGGTATATGTATATGTATATGTATATGTATATGCATATGTATTTGTATATGTATTTGTATGTGTATGTGCATATGCATATGTATATGTATATGTATATGTATGTGTATGTGTATGTGTATGTGTATGTGTATGTGTATATGTATTGTGTATGTATATGTATATGTGTAGGTATGTATGTGTGTAGTCATGTCGAGAGAGATAGGGAGAGAGAGGTTTGTACATGTATATTTATAGGCACATGCACGTGTGCAGATGTATGCTTGCTACTGCGGAGTGTTTCATCGCAAGTACCTGCAGGAAGTAGATATCGATTTGCTTAATAGAAACAGTAGTCATGCAAATGCACATGCGCAAGCTGCTTCCTTTTCTGAGGGTAGCTTCAAGGTGCAGAGACTCGAGATGACTCCAGAGTCTTTAGCCCGAGACTTTGTTCGAGTGTATGTTGTGAGTAGTAGGCATCCTCAATAAGGAGGGCTTGGTTTAGAATCGCAGAAAACAGCCGTAGAACGAGCTTCCATCATCACGACTCCAAGCATGCAAATAGACTTCCGTTGGGGTCTACAGTCTAAAGGCAGACTTACTCCAAGGTCTAAAGTCCATAAACAGTACGGTGAGTCTAAATCCTACACCCAAAGCTTGAAGCTGTACGCATAGCCGCAGAATCTTAAGTAAGGCTTTGGAGTTGCAGACTATGCTCGGTTTAGGGTTCTAGCCAATTGGCCAAAGCCCCTTATAGCGAGACCCCCGGCCTCCCAGAAGTATCAATAAACTTATCTGTCTTATCGAGCCCTTTTTGGGATCGTGTTGTCACTACTGTTGATGGACAAAATCCTGCATGACCCTAAGGACTCTACACTATGGGAACTATATGGTATATTCCTTATAAAGGGTAGTGCAGGATTTTGTCCATCAACAGTAGGACTCTTGGGCTTCGAGTAAACCCCATAAAGTTGGAAACCGGATTAAGGCCAACTAGTGCTGGGATTACCCTTAAGGATTGAGGCTATTGGGTTTCCAACTTTCAGGCTTCTACTGTAGGGTCTAGTTAGGGTTTAGGACTCGGACGGTGGTGTCATTTTATGAAGGGTGCAGGGCTTACGATTCAGGGGTTCGGTGGCGATTCGTGAGTGTGGAACATCGTGCGTGAGGTTTAGGAGCTTCACGACCGGGACTTATCCCTAAACCCGAAACCCTAACTAAACCCCACTGGTTTTTATGGCCTTCATTAGACGACGCACCTTGGGTCAGTAGTAATTTTAATTCGCAATCCGAGCTATAAGCCTCGAGCAGAGAAGAGCCCATGGGCACAGAAACTCAAGGGTTCCTTCAGGGGAACTATCAGGAATTTGCCTATGGGTTAAGGGTTAAGGGTTTAGGAATACACCCATCGGCATCTTAGAGTGTGGTTCAGGGCACGGAGCTTTGGAATTGGGGCTCGCGACTCGACTACGCCGACTCCCCTAAACCGCTTCGGATCAGCTGTGTAGACTCCATGTTGGGTACCTCTTGCACATTTGCTCTTGAGTTCCTGCTTCGAACTGTATGGAACGCGTCATCCACTTCGGTAGTCTTCCATGCTGCCGAGTATTTCGGTCCAGGCATCACTGTCTACAGTGGTGGTCGTGATGGTATTCCTTGCTGATCCACAATACTTACTTCCGCGAGCCATATTTCAACTCCTGTCATAACATAGTATGTACTGCTGTGACCTGGCCAGCATGATCTCACCTTTGAGGTGGTGGGTTAGGGTTTCGAGGCAGAAACTATAATTGGCGAGGGAGTCGTTTTGGAAGCAGTTCTGTCAGCGGAGGCCACCGAGTTCCAGAAGTGCGACCATGTAAGATTCAAGGAGTTCCCATGTTCGATTATGTCTTGAAGATGATGTTTAAACTGCTTAGGAGTTATGGGACGTTGAGCGTTTCGATCTGCGCCGAACCAGACACAAGTTGCGTGTTGAGCTTGGAAGAGCAAACACCGCATGGCCCATAGGACATGTGAAAGAGCGCCGAGACCAGGTGCTGCAGATGTTTGTCATATTGTGACAACATAAAACATGAAACATGAGATTCTGCAATATTTGCTGACAGCATTCCGGCGCCTATGGAGGATATCAGCAGCACAATACCAAACAGGTTGCCACATGCCCGGGCATCGGCCTGCCCCAACCAAACTCGCCACCATCGAACATGGATGCGGCCTCTGACCAGGTTTTTTTCCGGATCGGCGAACGACATCTTCCCCCGGAGGTGCTTGTTAAGAGCCATCCGGTTGGAGGTTGCGCGGGGTGGGTCTGAGGGTTTAGGCCTTGTGCAGATTGGGGGTTCGGCATCTTGAACCTCATGCATCATGTATCGGTTCATGACAGGGACTGTTTCAGCTTATCCGGTTGTGTGCGACAATTTCCAGGGTCCACCAGATCTCAATGCTCGAACATTGGTGGTTTCGCTACGGAATGATACCCGCACTGCTTGGCGGACACGCATCAATAAAATCCAAGTGCTTTTCACCTTCATCTTCCCTGCGAGACACAGCAGCTCCAAGAAGGGCGCAGCCTTAAGAGTCATTTCAGACGACACACACACAAGCACAACTCACAACTGAAAGCTGCAGCAAAACAGGGGTTGCTTTTGTCCGTTTGACCTGGTGCTTGCTTTACTTCCACGATCCGATGTTGAAGCATGAGGAGTTTCACCATTAGATTTTTTGCCTTGAGGCATTTATAAGCTTGGTGAGGTGTGAGGAGCATTGCGGGGAGAACAAATTCTCTAGAATTCTGGGCAGCAGTATGTGATAAATATTGCATTTCTAGTTTTCTTTTGGTTGCGCAAAAGTTTTTATTATTTGTGTACTGCAGTAAACTAGAGTATACTACAAGTATACTACAGTATCACGTGCTGGTCTCAGAAGAAGGTTTTCTTTGAGAAGGTGGAGGTGGAGTTCAAGCAAAGCCATGTGCCCGAAGAGAAAGTGGATGAGATGATCCGCTACGTTGCAAAATGCCCAAAGTTGCGGAACCTCAACATTACAAGTACCTTCTTGACTGTTGCCCATTGCCGGGTGTTGGCCAGGCAGCTCGGTGGTGTAGGCGTGCAGCAAGGCCAGACGCAACAGCTCCAGGTTCTCAGGCTGGTTCAGGGCTCCTTGGGGGACGAAAAAAAAGGCGCTGGCCGAAGGCCTCGCTGGCAACAAAAGTTTGAAGATCCTCGTCTTACGCCACCACTTCATCACCGACGCAGGCGCCGAAGCTTTGGCCTGCGGCCTCCAAAAAGACCCCGTGCTGAAGGAGCTGGATCTGGCAGGGAATGACCTCACAACGATTGGGAAGCAAATCATATCCGTGCTTAAAAGCATCTGCCGCACTCTGCAGACGGTCGATGTTTCAGGGCAGAAGACAGACGTCAGAGCAGCAGAGGATTTTATATACTTTGTGTCAAAGTATCAAAAAACATTGCCCGATGCCCACTGTTGGTTGTGGCTCCTTCTCGTGAGAAGCATATTTTACGGCTTAGGATTTAGGGTTTAAGTTTAATGTTTAAGGCTTCTGAATTCGCACTTGTCCACGTCTAGCAGTCAAGACAGTCGCGCACAAGCACAACGGACCCCCAAGCACCGGGCTTCTCGCACACCCGCACAGTCTTCGTTGCGCATCCAGGAGTGCATCAGGAGGTGGCGGAGGTTGGCAAACTGCGAACTCAGCCCACGGAGGGTATTAGATTGAATCTCAACAGGGCGCCATGCTCGCCCGGGGCTTTTGAAGCCTGTGCGACATTGGAGCATCGTGCAGTGCATATAAAACGCCCTCACTGACAATGGGAAGATGTAAGACTGTATAAGGGCCTAAATAATCAGCTATACTATTTTGGTGGGTTCCTTACAGTTATGGTTATAGTATAATGGGCCCCAAAACCCTATCTGAGATTTTAAGGCCCCCCATATTAAGCCCGAAGCAGAAGCCCCAAGAAGTGAGTTGAGTAAACACAAAAGCGATAACAAGCAGACAAACCACCACCGATTCGGCTCCCCAGTCCTTACTCCAGATCACGATTCAAGCATATTCAAAGAGAGTTATCCGACAATGACTGTTTTACAAGAAAGCCGTCATACGATTGAATATCACTTGCCAATGCTTGTGCCAGTCAGCTTACACCTGCAAATGTCTGCACCGCTAAAAGAGACTATGCACTCGTTAAGCTAGACACCTCCTCATGAGGACTCAAATGGCTTTCGTGGAAGCTTACCATCGTTCGGCACAACCTCCAACCTACATATTATATTCTGTTAAGCAGAATATGATATTAAGCCACCGAAATTAAAAAGATCGCTTATCAGGAAGGTCGCAAGCTGAGTTTCAATAACAACCGCCTTTCGCACCCTGAGATGCGAAACCCTTCAGGTCCTGAGCCCGAAGCTTTTACCTATGTAGAGAGCCCTTATCACGGAATAAGTCATAACCACTTACGCCGTCTAAGATTCTGAGCCCTCCTAAACCCTAAAGTCTAAACCCGCTTCTTCCTCAAAGCCATCTTGCCCAGGCGCAGGAGATGCTACATCGGCGAAGCGGGCCAGGGCCCAAATCGGTCTAGGACACAACACAACTTTTCCAAGACACTAAAGCCCTTACCTGTGCAAAAACCTCTCGTCAAACGGGAGTACATTGTTATGGAGCCCTAAACCCACAAGGTTGGATAAAGCTTTCGTAGGATTTTAAAGGGTGTGGTTAAACGCTGGAATATTTAGGATATGGCGTCCGACCACATTGTGCTATAGTTGTTTATGGCCGATAGGGGGACATATTCTTGTTATGATTTCACCTTAAACCCTACCTACCCTACCCCCTTCAGGCCTTATGCAACTCGAGTTTGAGGTGGCTGTTCATCGCCGCAGCAGCTCTGGATCAGATCGTCGCAGGCACGGTTTGGGTGGTATGAAACAGTTAAGTTCAGGGTGTCCTGTTGAAGGGTTTATAGGGTTTGGGGTTTAGGCAGGGTTCCGGGCTTGGTATGGTTTTGGGTTTGGGAATTTTAGGGCTTACCTAGCGGGTTAGTTGCATCAGCACCGACGGTTTTGTTCTGGGCCAGAAGCGGACGTAGGTTTGATGTGTTCAGCTCCCTAGGAACCAGTCAGTCTAATTAATTATCGAGTCCATTGGGCCTCTACATTACACTAGCCCCCCCCCCCCTCAACAAACGCCGACATGGAGGAAGCCGATGCCCACGCTGTCCACAGAACAGAGTCGGGCGCCCAAGCGCGTAACCAGAGCAGCTGTACTTCGATTTGTTGTTGAAGGCCCCGGTGAGCGTTATGTAACACGAGAGGTTAGGTTCTGCATAAGGGTTCTACGAACATGAGGGGTTCTAGTGGCCGATTGGATCTCTCACCAACAGCAGGAGGAACCCGCCCCGAACCCGCCCCAACCCAAACCCCAAACCCACCCTAAGCCATATAAATCCCATAGGCCCTAAACCCTAAACTCTAATCCCAAAGCCTTATAAGCCCTAAACATCCCTAAACCCTGAAACCCTTCCCAAGGACCTGCTCAACACCCGCCCCTCCAATTTTGAACCAGTCCTAAGTTCGGCTGAACCTCCCAAAGGTTTGGGGACAAAGTACGGATTCTATTGTAGGGGGTTCTAGTGAAACAGATTCTCAGGAATGCGCCTTTGCCCTGCTGACGGAGATTATCTTCAAACATGTTTCAGCTGTGTCCGAAACCCAAGCCGCGCTCGCAGCCACCACAAGACTCATCTCAATGATACTACCCAGAGAGCCCAATACCCCTTAATTAAGGAATGTGGCTTAAATTTTATAGAGATTCATATTATGATTTAAGCCATATTCCTTAATTAAAGGGTATTGGGCTCTCTGGGTACCTGCATCCTTTTAACATAAACTAGAAGAGGCGAATCTAAGAACCCAGCCCTGATCCTTGAAGCTACCCAAACCACCGGAAACACGAAGCCGCGTGCCCAAAACCAACTTGAGCAGGCATGTGGAAGTGATCGAGGAACCTCCTAGTCCATCTTTAGGATGACGAAGGCATTGCATCTTAGTGTATGACCAGGCCTTCGCATCGAAAGACCGCTTAGCACTGTTGACGGAGATTTTCCGAGTTTCCAGAACAAGGGAGCCCTAAATCCCAAAGTCCCGAACATGTCTCAACATATCTGAGCTCTCCGCAATCTCATTGGGGTAGGATTGTCATTGCAACTATCCGATCCCTCACAAACCGATGATCATTCAGAAGGAATGCTGTATACAGTCTCCAAATCGCTCATACCAAACGCCCCATAGTAGCTCCTCTTCGGGGTTCATATTTAGAATCCTATGAGGTAATCCCAAAAAAGAACTATTTTGGGGCCTGTGGGCAATATTAAGTCCTACTTCTACTTCCTTCAGGTGGTGCACGGAAGATCCGCGCGCGAATCCAAACCTGTCTCGAGAGCCGGGCGGGCAGCGGGACGCGCGGGACGCTGGGAAGGCCCTACTATAGGGTTTCGTAGCGTGTGATCCAGGTTATAAGCTTTGGAGTTTTCTGTTAATTTAGGGCTTCCTCAATGTATTTCGCTCTGATCGTGGCTCACAAAGTATTCTCGCTTCATTAATTCATAAGGCTGCTGTTGGTGGGCTTGAGGCTTGAAGGCTCTCGGAGGGATTTGTCGAATGGGACTCACAGGTTCAAGGTTTCGACGTCCGGCAGAAGTGGAGCTTATTCAGTAGGTTTTGAGATATAGAGGCTCGGGGGGGGCTTCAGGTTCAGAGTTTCCGGCGTGTCAGGGTTGAGAATAGACTCGTAGTGTAACATAGGGGCCTAAATGATTACCAATACTATTTTGGGGGGTTCCGATATTATAAGTATAGCATAAGGGGCCCGAAGGCCCTATTCTAAAAATCAAGGCTTTTATATCAACCATTAATCTGGCTCGCGGGCGCGATTCAAACATACCCTGAGCTCTCGACCCGAAAACCTTCGCCAAAGCCAGTCCTTGACCCATGCACCCTCAAAGGAACCCGTATCAGAAGCACTTGAAAATGTCGGCAAGGAACCCCCGAACAGAACCCCCCAAACCCTAAGCCGAGACCCTTGAGGAACCCCCAGTTGCCGACTCCTCTTAGCAGCTGAGTGGGTACCCTTTCCACATCTTGGGGTAATATGACCCTCTAAAGTATTTGCAGCTTACGGGGCTCATGAACCCAGCAACTCCCTAAACCCTAAAACCTTGAAACCCTCAAACCCTCAAGCCCTAAACTCTTAAACCCTAAAACCTTGAACCCTAACCCTGAACCCTAAACTCCTAGACTCCTAAACCCTGAAGCACTCAAACCCTCAAGCCCTAAACTATTGAACCCTAAAACCTTTAACTGTGAGCTTGAACCCTGATTTCCTAGACTCCTAAACCCTAAAACCCTAAACCCTAAACCTCAGATTAACCCAGACCCCCGGGAGGATCCAAAAAGTCGATCCCTTAATGGGGGGTTCCTATAAAGTACTCTTAGTAATATAAGGGATCTACTTTCTAGATCCTCCCGGGGGTCTGGGAAGGAGCCCCGAACCAGAGCCCTTGGTGTTCCTAGGCCGGTGAGCAGAAGCCGACAGGCTCCGCGTGCCACCGCCACCGAGGCGCAAGCCATGGAATGTAGGATTTAGGATTTTAGGAGTTTAGGGGTTAGGAGTTCAGGGGTTAGGATTTTAGGAGTTGAGGGGTTAGGAGTCTAGGGGTTAGGATTTTAGGAGTTTAGGGGTTAGGAGTTTAGGGCTTAGGAATTTAGGAGTTTAGGGGTTTAGGGGTTTAAGGTTTAGGGGTTTAGGGCCTAGGGCTTCGGAGTTTAGGGGTTGGGGCTGAGGAGTTTGGGGTATATTCGGAGTGTAGGGTTTGGGGCTTTGGGGTTTAGAGTTTAGGAGTTTCGGCTTTAGAAGTCCAGGGCTTCAGTCGATAGCATACTGTAAAGGGAACTCCAGAAAGTTGGAATATGGAATAATGGCAGGATCCCCTATAATTTACCTTAAAGGGATTATGATAATGATATTCCAACTTTTCGGCTTCTACTATAGGGGTCTAAATAATTGATTACCTATACTATTTGACTGTAGCATACTGGGCCCCAAAACCCTGCTCTAACTATGAAGGCACCTATATGAAGGTTCCTCCTAAAGCTCCCTTGACTACCCTTATGAGCCCTTAGGCCTAGGTTTTTTTTCTATACAGGGCCTTGACAATTCGACTGGTGTCTTGGGTGGGTTGTATATTATAGCAACTGCGGCTTTTGCAGTGTTACAGTGGCCTTGATAATCGAATAGGCTTCTCTATGGTATTTTGGGAATTATAGGGTTGTATGTTGGGGTTTTGACAAACAGGAAAGCATGTGGGTGTTATAAGGGATTGCTAAAGTTCTACAAGGGAGAGAGCTCTCAGGCATTTCTAAGAGTTATATAGGGTGTTTGTGCAGCAACTTCTTCACAAGCTTGTTTGATGATAGCTGTTGTGAAGAGTTTTTACAGGTCTGCAAGAACGGGGTGTTTGCTTGGAGGTTTTATTCGGGCCATAAAGGGCTTCTAGGATCACACACTATCTGTAAGGCTTTTCGCCTGCTTTGAGACGTAGGGTACAGTAGACTTCACTTCCTGCCCTAAGCTGTACGTCCTCTATAGGCCCCAAGCCCTCAGCCCCGAAGGGAAGCCCTGGCAGCAATCTTGTAGAACACCGTAGAACCCGAAGAAATTCCTAAAATATCTTATAGAACCTTGTAAGACGCTATAAACCCTGAGAGCACCCGATAAAGCCCGATAGAACCTGCGACCGTTTGTGGCCAGGTCACAGCGAGCACTGCAACGAGTGCAGAAACGACTAGTCAGAGTCTCAATACCCAGTGAGGCCTTGGCTTGGGCATGTTTAGGGTTGGGGCCCTAGAGGTTTTGGGCTTGAGAGGGTTTCGGGGGTGTGGAGTTTAGAGGGTTTGGGCTTCGTCCTAGATCTAACACAAACAGCCCTTATACAGTAACACCTTTTCACACAACGTTTTGTTACAATGTTTCACACAGAAGCTCTAGGACAGCCCCCCCCCCCGCCCTATCCACCGGAGCTCAGGCCGGGATGACGAGAGTAGCAATGTCATGGTGGATCCGGAAAGGCTCGGAACTTCAATAGGGTTCTATATGGTAGGGGCCTTAATATTTAGAATAGGAGGTTCCTTTTTGCAGGGTTCCTTCAAAGGGGTGGTCGCTGTTTTTTCGTTGCTTGTAAAGGCTAAGCGTTCAGGGTTTAGGGTTGAGGGGTTTGAGGTTGAGGGTTTTGGGGTTTCTAGGTTGGGGGTTGGCGGTTTCGGGGTTTCGGGTTTAGGGTGAGAGCTCCGCTAACGGTTCCCATAGTGGGTTCACCCAAAGGGGTATCACATAGCAGGGTTACCTTATTGAAGACCGGCGGGAACACCCCTATCATCATACCAGTAATATCGAACGCTGTACCATAGCATGGCTCAGGGCGGCTTGAGACTGTGGGGATCTGGGGTTCCGACGTTCAGGGTTGATCTGGTGTTTTGGGGATTTCGTTTTAGTGTTCTTGGCCTGTCTAGGCCTTATCAGGGATGGCAACCCCCCAAGTACCCTATGATAGAGCCCCTGCGGTCCTTAATAATTGAGTATTTTAGTTACAATAGAGGGTAGTTGAGGGGTTATTACATTGTAAAGACTTTGTTGTAGAATTCCTATGACACCCCTCATACAGTAGCAACCCTCTTCTGGGTAGAAGGGCCCTTAGCTCTCAACCTTACTGGCCCCAAGAACGTCGCAGGTGGGATGTTGCCCAAGCTGGAAAAGCAGAGGCAAGCTGAGCTTCAGGATTGTACGCTTAAGCCATGGTCCATGGCTGAAAACAGAACTGCAGAGCTGTGCATCTACAATGGCTTCTTTGATTTCAGGTTTAGGGCTTTGGGGTAGTCTTCTTCTTCCATTGATAATAGGGCCCCAAAAAAGCAAATAAGCAAAAATTCGGATAGGGATATCCCATATAAACCCCCTTATAATGAAGCCCATTATGGTAGGGATATCCCCATAAAATGCTTATGCTTATGTGCTTTTTTTGGCCCCTAGATAAGATGCTTCAATTTCAAGTGTTTTGGTCGTTGTCGTGATGACCTCTAGTATATAGTGGGCTATGGCGCGTTTAGACGTTCCTGCTTTGTTTTCGTCAGCGGCAGTTCTACAGCTGCTGCTGCTCCTCGTTGCGATGTTTCGGGTCTACCCAGACTTTTCGTTGCTTAATTTCAGTGTTATACCCACCGACACCGTGGTTAGAGGAGCTTGCGACAAAAAGCAGACGATGCCTCGCGCATCGTAGTAGCTGTCTGGCTTCACTGTGGGACCAGCTGCCGTCAGCATCTGCATTGAACCAGCGAAACCTACCTTGTTGCAGGGTCCCAATAAAGTCTATGCTAGGGTTTACAACCAGAAACTGCAACAAGTATTTAGGGCATTTAAGGTAGATAACGCAATTCCGGAATCCAATCCCCGAGACCTCTGACTGTGGATCCCGATTCCTTGAAACCCAAATCAGAGAGATTCGGACCATCTTAAAGACGCCATTATACTACCCTCATCATCAGCAGCACCATCATCAGAAGAACAGGAACCATGAGTAGCTATCATCATTACAGCCCTAATCATTACCATCATCTTCGTCATCGCTACCAAAGCTTATATACTTCCTTGTACCTTGATGTACACCAGCAGAAGGTCAGACATCGCAGCCCAACTCGGTCCACGACGGCTCCTAAGTATGGGTTTTGGGGCCTGTATGTGGGGTTGCGAGTTTAGGGTTCGCGCTGGGATTTAGGGCCAGGATTTGGTGTTGTTCAGACATCTAAGGTTCTTGTTTAGTTGTATGCACCTGGCACGGAAAAAGCTGTGGACCCTGTATCATCTGTAGCGAATCCTTTTCCGAAGGGTGTTAGAAGCCTTCCGGCCTTGATTCAAAAGTTCCAGGAATTCTCATCTTCGAGTCTATAGGGTCTGGAGTCTAGAGGTTTCTGGAGTGCTTCTGTAGGGTTCAACAGGATCGTAAAGGGTCTTCGAGTTGTACCTTTGCGGCTTGCGCGCCGATGCGGGCTGTGCAGCACGGGACCTCAAAAGTGGGTTCTGGTGCCCGCCGAGCGCAAGACTGCGTTGCCGTCTGCACCAAATTCCCTCCCCTAATAGAGGGCCTATAATATTCTGGGGGTTCCTATGAACTTTCAGTATAGTATAATTTATTATGGCCCCTACAGTATCCGCCATCCCTCTTCGAGGTCGGCCGGCCTAAGCCAAAGAGCTTTCACAGGACTGCGAATTTAGGGCTACGATGTTTTTTCACTTGGGTAGGTTTGGGAGTGTGTGAGGTAACCGACAGCCGCCCCTTAGCATGCAACCGTAAACCCTGAACCCCCAAACTCCAGAACTGTCAATCCCGAAAGCTCGAGCTCAGAAATGCCCATCGTTTTCAAAGGCACTCCAGGAAGAAAGACCCCGCCGACCAAGCCTAAAACTCATCAATGGGGTAGGTTATAGGGTCCTATATAAGGGTTCCCATGACTGCTTTTTATGAGGTTTTTAGGGTTTAGGGATTATAAGGGAGTCGAGCACCCAAGGCTAAGCTCAGCACTGACTACTTAGATGCATTTGGTGTGCAGTTGCCTTTTTGTGTTTTTTCGAGTTTCAAGGGTATAAGTATAGCTAAGCAACCCTAAACCCTAAACCCTAAAGAGCCCTAAGCCCTAAAGCCCCAAGCTCTAAGTCTATAAGTACCCTAAGCCCTAGGAACCCTGAGCCCAAGCAACAAAACCTTCAACCCTTCAGCCTCTACAGGCCCTGAAGGCCCTACCTTAACCCGGAATAACCCACACATTTTTAAGGACCTTGATAAGGAAATCATAATGAGGGACCCTGAAAAGGTAGGTTATTGAGGGTTAAGGTAGGACCAGAAACATAATGCCGAATCCTCTCCTCTGTAAATCAAGTGCTCATAGCACTTATCAGAGACACTTGTATCAAGCCCTCATCTAAAGCCGTATAAAACGCTGTTCAAAGAACACCTTACCAAAAACCTGAAACCCTAAAAACCAAACCCTAAACCCCAAACCTTAAACCGCACACCCTAAACACCTATAAACCCCCCAAAACCAAGGCAAGACTTAGGGTTTAGGCTTCAGGGTTAGGGTTTTGGGGTTTAGGGTTTAGGGGTTTTATAATTACTTCTATCCCAAATTAAGGTACTTATAACCTAACTTGCGAAGTCCCCCGGATCCTCCAAGCAAACCCTAAACCCTAGACGTCCCTTTAAGAACCTTATAGATCCCTTCAGGGGGCCCCTTTAAGAGCCCTTACTAAGTCCCCTGATCCTCCAAGTAGACCCTAAACCCCAAACCCTATAGATCCCTTTAAGGAGCCCCTGTAGATCCCTTTAAGGAGCCCTGTAAGAACCCTTGCTAAGTCCCCTGATCCTGCAAGTAGGGTTTCTATACCGGTATTCTGAGGGTTCTTTACGGGCTCTAAACCCAAACCCCAAAACCTTAATTGTTGCCTTAATTATAACCTAACTTGCTAAGTCGCTTGGTCCTCCAAGCAGGAAGTGCTCCGACCTCAGAGCCCTGGCAACAGGTCCGCTACGGCGCGGCACTCGGCTTCAATCTTTCTGGGGGTGTCGGTGTTTAGGAGATTTTAGGGGGTATAGGGTTTAGGAGTTTAGGTCGGGAATTTCGGCTTTTAGGAGGTTTTAGGGGGTGTAGGGTTTCGGGTTTCGGAGTTTAGGGGGTTGGTTGAACCCTAAACTTAAGGTTTGGGGTTTGGCGGTCTATTATTTAGGGGTTTCGGCCGTCCAGAGGCTTGTGGTTGAGGAATTTGGGGTTTATGTTCTTCTTTGGGGGAGCCTTCAGTTAGAAGTTGTGGTTGTCAAGTAGTCAAGTATAACTACCCCAAAGGTTCCATCAAAAAGGGGCCGTGGTGGGGTTCCTTCTTATTTATGATGGGCCGCAAAACACTATTCGAATTATTAAGGCTACTATCGTATATACTACCATTATGGAATTAGGTTCCTAAAAGCATACTAAGGATGGACTCATAATGGTGTGGAACCCCTCTACGTGGGGCTGTCTTAGAACCAGGGGCACGATGTACCGGTAGGGGTCATAGCCAGAAGCTTCTTTTGCAAAGGGGTTTAGGGTTGGGGGGGGGGGCGGGGATCCAGGGCCCTACACCCCGAATAGTTGGTTATGAATTGTGTGCGGCCCCGCCTCACTAATAGTGGGCAGAAACAGAAGCACAAGATGAAGCACCAGGGAAATGCTGAAATGTTGACTCGTTTGTGATCATGCTCGCATGATTGGAAAACGCAAGACTGAGACAACAAGTAAACTGCCACCCCATGAGTTGCAAACACAGTCACACCCCTGTTGTTTTCTCGGATTCGATCTTGAGCAAACATCAGGAGCTGCAATGCCTCTGCGCGACTAGGGGGGGCGGGGCGGGGGGGGCTGGGGGTGCTGGGGGGGACTGAGGGGGCTGGGCTGGAAAGCTGAACGGACGGGCGGGTGGGGGGCGGGCTGAGGCCGGGCCGGGGTCTGGCCTCTTCGACCAGGTTTAGTACTGAGAGGCGTACCCGGGCGCGACATTTCGATCACAGAAACCTCTTTTCTGTTGTGCTTTTCTTGTGCTCGAAACGATCCGATTGTGTTTTTTTTTGTGCTTTTCTTGTGCTCCAAAAACCAAACGTGTTTGTATGTTTGTGCTTTTTTTTTGTGCTTTTCTTGTGCTCGAAACGCTCCGGCTGTTGTGCTTTTCTTGTGCTCGAAACGCTCCGATTGTGCTTTTTTTTTGTGCTTTTCTTGTGCTCCAAAAACCAAACGTGTTTGTATGTTTGTGCTTTTTTTTTGTGCTTTTCTTGTGCTCGAAACGCTCCGGCTGTTGTGCTTTTCTTGTGCTCGAAACGCTCCGATTGTGTTTTTTTTGTGCTTTTCTTGTGCTCCAAAAACCAAGCGTGTTTGTATGTTTGTGCTTTTTTTTTTTTGCTTTTCTTGTGCTCGAAACGCTCCGGCTGTTGTGCTTTTCTTGTGCTCGAAACGCTCCGATTGTGCTTTTTTTTGTGCTTTTCTTGTGCTCCAAAAACCAAACGTGTTTGTATGTTTGTGCTTTTTTTTTGTGCTTTTCTTGTGCTCGAAACGCTCCGGCTGTTGTGCTTTTCTTGTGCTCTGTCTGTACTCTTTCTGCAATCTAGGCAGGCCTCCGGGCTCGTTTCCGCAAACGTGTTTGCATGTTTGTGCTTTTTTTTTGTGCTTTTCTTGTGCTCGAAACGCTCCGATTGTGTTTTTTTTTTGTGCTTTTCTTGTGCTCCAAAAACCAAACGTGTTTGTATGTTTGTGCTTTTTTTTTGTGCTTTTCTTGTGCTCGAAACGCTCCGGCTGTTGTGCTTTTCTTGTGCTCGAAACGCTCCGATTGTGCTTTTTTTTTGTGCTTTTCTTGTGCTCCAAAAACCAAACGTGTTTGTATGTTTGTGCTTTTTTTTTGTGCTTTTCTTGTGCTCGAAACGCTCCGGCTGTTGTGCTTTTCTTGTGCTCGAAACGATCCGATTGTGCTTTTTTTTGTGCTTTTCTTGTGCTCCAAAAACCAAACGTGTTTGTATGTTTGTGCTTTTTTTTGTGCTTTTCTTGTGCTCGAAACGCTCCGGCTGTTGTGCTTTTCTTGTGCTCGAAACGATCCGATTGTGTTTTTTTTTGTGCTTTTCTTGTGCTCCAAAAACCAAACGTGTTTGTATGTTTGTGCTTTTTTTTGTGCTCCATGATTTCAAAACACATTGGCGCGCGGCAGTTCTGGTGCAAAATTGTCTCTGTCTGTTGTGCTTTTCTTGTGCTCGACGCGGTCCGATTGTGCTTTTTTTGTGCTTTTCTGGTGCTAGTTTTGCTCTGTCTCTCTGGCGGCCGGGCCAGTCCAGTCCCCGCGTCCAGGCCGTCTGAAAGAAGGTCTCCGGGCCCAGGTTGCGATGGTAACGAAACCGTGGTTCCAAACCTCTTCGCTGGTAAGTTGCAGATAGCTCCTCCCAACCTCTTCGCCGGTCCGACCCCATCTCACAGCCCTAATCGCCAAACTATGCCAAACATATTTGGATTCAAAACACTGCCTGGCCCTGGAAAACCGAATGAGATCAGATTTCCTTGTGCTACTTTTGGCCTGTCTGTTTGATAATAAACCTATTCTTGAACTATTAGTCGGCCGGGGCCCCATCTAAGTTATGAAGTTCAGGTTGGGGTAGGGTCTCGTTGGAAACACCTCGTAGTGATCTCGCTTGAGATGGGAACCTAACTTGTGGCTAATTTTGGGAAGAGGCATTTTTGCGTTTTAGGGTTTTAGGGTTTGGTCTTTCGGGTTTAGGGTTCTTTAACAACTAAAACGGAAAGCTGATGCTGGAAGCGTCTTGCAACATTGGGCTCAGCCTCCCAAGCCCCAAGCAAGCCCTAAACAGCAACCCCTTGACCCTAAACCAGACCCTGAACCCTAAACCCTAAACTCTAAACCCCCAAACCCTAAACCAGACCCTAGGACCCTAAACCCTAAACTCTAAACCCCCAAACCCTAAACCAGACCCTAGGACCCTAAACCCTAGACTCTAACCCCCCCAAACCCTAAACCTGACCCTAAGACCCTGAACCCTAAACCCTGAAACCCTTTAAGCCCTAAACCAGACCCTAAACCCTAAACCAGGAGCCGATAACCCCAAACCCTACAGCTGCTGAATCTTAAATAGGGCTTAGGTTAGAAGGGACCCCACCCTGTAATAGTGACTATAAGGATTATATTAGGGCCCGATTATATTCCTATTAAGCCACTGTTACAGAGTGGGGGCCCTTTCTAAGGATTAGGGTTCACAAAACCTGAAGCGGATCCTAAACCCTGACCGACAACACTACCTATAGTCTCCATTGTAGTTCCTTGTTGGGGTTTAACCAAGTATATATTAAGGATCCCAAAAGGTAACCCCAAAAAGGAACTACAATGGAGACTATAGGTAAACCATAGCTGCCACTTTGAGGTCCCCCGCCATTGGCGTTCGCCCCTCCCAAGAGAGCCGTCCAGACGCTGGGCGCAAGTTCCAATCTCAGATGAAGGCGTTTCCGAAAACAGGAGACCCAGACCTTCCAAAATCCCTTAATTAAGGAATCTACCTTAAATTATAATAGGATCCCAAATATGAATTAAGGTATATTCCTTAATTAAGGGATTTTGGAAGGTCTGGGGACCTAATAGTGTACCCTAGATAGTAGGATCCTTACTGTAAGGACCCCAAAATAAGGTATGGCTAGTCTTCGGAAACTCCCATTTCGAGTTTGCATTTCCGCCAGTAGCTTTGACGAATCCCAAGACCGCCAGCCAAGAGCCCGACAAGACTGACCTTAATGCCTACAGTAAACCCCATAAAGTTGTTGAAACCAGATTTAGGTCAAACAGCGCTGGGATTCCCTATACATTACTCTTAAGGATTCAGGCTATTGGGTTTCCAACTTTTGGGCTTCTGCTGTAGATGTTTCCTGCTTGCCAAACAACTTCTGTGTAGAACTTGGGTTTTTACGAGGTAGGCTCGTGCGTGGACTCATTACGGAGTCATCGCTCCGATGGTGTAGGGGCCTAGAGAAGCATGCCAGGAACAAGATGACATACACTCTTACAACAAAAGTCGAAACACTGCCATGCCCCGAAAGCATTCCCTCCCCCAAAGGCTCCATGTACCCATATAGTAGGTACTTAGGCCTTCAAGGGGTCCCTATATGGGTACTTTAAGGCCTAAGTACCTACTATATGGGTACATGGAGCCTTTGGGTCCCCCAAAGCCCAACTTTCTCAAACCCTAAACCCTAAACCGTAACTTTCAGGTGCACCAGCGGCAGCCACCGCCGAGGCCTGGATCGGTCCTGTGCGCCAGCGCATCCGCATCCACATGATCCCCTTCCTGCGCACGGGGGCAGGTAGGTGTGTGTGTGTGTGTGCGTTTGTCTGGGGTAAGTTTATCTAGCGTCCTATAACTGCTTGTTTACCTGTCTGATATCTGTGTGCATACACACACACGTACCTACATGCATGCGCGTCCATGCTTTAGGCCTTACGAGTCGGTGCTTACAAGCCATAGTTAAGGCCCTCACGCTGCAAGTTCAAGTACTGCCTGGGTCATGAGCTGGAGTACCGGTTGCAGCGAAGGAAGAAATATGCTCTTTTGCTGGTGCATGGAGAAAGGAACTTGCTTTCTCAGCTTCAAGGAGCATTGTCAGAGCATGAAAGCAAGCTTTTGCTGCAGCTGACATACATCCAAAAGCATGTGGGGGATGGGGAGCAAAAGCTTGGTAATCTCGGTGCTGCTTCAAGCGGCATCAATCCAGGACAGCTGGAGAGGCAGGAGTTTCTGTAGTTGTTACAAATCTCCGAAACTAAACCTTGCTAAGAAGCCCGTACTACGGACCGCATCATGTCCAGATCCTGTGACGGCAGTGAATTGCCTTGCAAGTCATTGAATTTCTTCAGAGCTCACTGGTGAAGTTCTTGGATCAATCTCATGAGACTTCACTGAGTATCCTTCCAAATCGATCCATTGAAGATGTCATCGTAACAATCAGAATACCACTGGTAAAACTAATTACTAAAAGTACTCATAGTAATCATCCTCATCATCTTCACATAATTAGAATAACAGTCCTATAGTAATACCATCATCATAATCATAATGCGAACAGTCATCGTAGTTAACAATGTAAATACAGTGGCAGGAATCATAAATAGAATCATAATCGCCGTAGCAATAACAATACAAGCAACAATAATGATAATAACAGTAGTAACGATGACACCAGATGATCACCACAACGGTGGTAAGATTGAACTATTCAAGCAACTGGAGCCTTGGCATCAACCTAACACAGAAAAGCCGATAGCCAAGTCTGAACATGATGAAACGAAATCAGTTTCCGGACCCTCAAGGTTCGAGGCATTCCATCAATACCTGTCCACAGCTGAGAAGTTATATCGATAGCAGCTGAAACCTAAGCATCACGAAGCCAGCATCTTAAAGCCTTAATTCAATATTCACAGCTTGGTTTTACAAGCTGCTTTGGAGATCGTAGACCTACAACGCTAGACTTCCAGGAAGCCTTAACATGCTCGAGCACCTTTGCCAATTCCAGCCCGAACGACCGTACATAACCTCGTGCCAAACCACAGGGGCATAGGGCCCATGGAAACACCCGAAACCCCAAATCGCATCCCAGCCTTGGAGAACCTTTCCCTAAGGATTCAGATAGTATATACTTTGGCTCTAAAGTAGTCCCTACATAGGTACTTTGGGGCCAAAGTATATGCTATTTGGGCACATGGACCCTCAGGGGTTAGTACCTTACATCGAACTCTCACCAGCCTTGAGGCAGCTGCCAGTGCAGCTGCAGCCACCCCCACAGCCGGTGGAGACAGCGCGAGCCTTGCTGGTCGAGTGGACCCATTCTCAAGTAATCTTAGCAGTTCTACTATTGTCTTTTGTTAACCTTGTATTTTGGTAGTGTTTTTTATGGGTATTTTGGAGCTTCTGGCTACCAGACCCTCGATGATAAAGGTTCGTCAAGCCTTCAATCAGCTGCGCCGGAGCTCCCTTTTCAGCAGGAAAAGAAGGGAGTACCTGGCACTTCGTGTAATGCCGTCCAGAAGGAAAAGACGAGGTACCCAGAGAGCCCAATACCCCTTATTTAAGGAATATGTCTTAAATTATATAGGGCTTCATATTATGATTTAAGGTATATTCCTTAATTAAGGGGTATTGGGCTCTCTGGGTACATGGACGCGACGGAGGCGCATATGACTGCCGAGCAGCAGAGCTCGGGAGCCGAGCCGCGCCTACCTAAAAAGGAGGGACCCTTAATGGGGATCCCTACCCCATAATGGGCTATATACTGGGTATATATTAGCTATATTAAGGGTATAGACCCCCCAAAGTAGGCAAAATAATGGCATAAAACCTTTAAAAGGCTAGTATTCTACATACTTTTGGGGTTCAGGTACCTGCATAATGGTGCGGCATGCATGTAAAGACTGGTTTTCAAGTAACCGGAAATTTCGGGTACCACGTATTATTCTACCACAACGAACCCTACCTGAAGCCTTTATAGAACCCTTAAAGGAACCCCTTCTAAGTATTGAGGCACCTTGTGTATGTGGCCAGGAGATCCCTCAACCCTAAACCCTAAACCCTGGCCTGCCCCAGACCTTAAAGCCGCGCCCTAAACCCTAGACGCTAAACCCCCAGATGCTAGACCCTAAACCCCCAAACGCGAAACCCCTAAACCCTCGTAATCCCCTTGTGAATGAGGCCAGGAGCTCCTTCAAGTCTACCGCAACATCTTCGAGGACCTTTTCTTCAGGGTCTTCGGATCTCCCTGAACCCAGTACCTATACCCCTTTTTTAGGGTACTTAGTTTTATGGTTAGGATCTCCTATATAGAAAAGTGGGTACCTTAAAAAGGGGGTAGGGTATGAGCCTATAGGTAAAGTTTGGGGTTTTGGGGGGTTTAAGGGGTTTAGGGGTTTCGGCGCTCACACTCGGGCATTAGGGGGTTTAGGGGTGGTGTAGGGCTTATAGGGTTTTCAGAATTGAGGATTCCTTGTTATGATTTCCTTCTAAGAGTTCTTGAGAAGGTAGGCTTTTTGGGGTTCACATGAGGGCTTCGTGAGACTTGTGTGCCTTTGTTCAGTGTACACGTGTTTTTGGATTTGCAAGGGTTGGGACGAGTTTTATCCAGGTCTTTTTTCACATGTTGCTGTGACTTACACCGGATGCACGATCCTTCCTTTTCGGGTCTGTTCTGACGGGTCCATTCTTGTGGAAGTCCCATCTAGGGGGTGTGATTGGCTGACGCATCGCCTGCAGGGCGTAGAGGTTCAGGGTTGAGGGTGTCGGGCCGGGCTTGGGGTTAAAGCTTTGGAGTTCTACAAAGGCTTGAAAATAAATAAATAAATACATAAATAAATAAATAAATATATATATATATATATATAAATATATATATATATATATTATAATTTTTTCCATATGGATCCAAATGTTGGTCCCCTGAGTCCGAGTCCATCTCAGCCCTCAAAACCTATAAGCCCCGGAATGGGTTTTGAAGAGTGTTTTTCGATCCATCAACTGGGTCTGTGGGACTGCCGTATTCTCGAAGCTGCATCTTTTTCAATTGAGGGCGCCCGATAGCTCCGGTAAGGGTCCACTAGCTGCACAAGGGCAGATTACGGTCTTGTGAGTCTACGGTTTATGACACCTGGCTTTCAAACTGCAGAGGTCTGCGGCTCAAAACAGCCTCCCGAAGTGACGTTGCTGCCATTTCCGAGGAGGTCATTCTGAGGGACCATGAGTACGGCGCAACGCTACGGAAGGCAGCGACGTACCAAACACCCAATTTCGACATCGAACCCGTATCTAGCAGCATAGCAATGCATCAACATCTCGAGTCTCCTTCAAACATCTTCGCGCTCGAGATCGATAGTGGGGCCCCCACATTTCCTGATTATCCCGCCTGGTCTCTCCCTAGGAGCTATCACACTCGATGAGGGCTGTCAGAAACCCTTCAGCCATATCAGCGACCATCAAGTATGGCATCTTAGCAGCATGGCTTCTCCTATAGGCCCTAAACCCTGACTATTCATGTATTGGCCTGGGTTTCGGGTTGTGGGCACTTCTCTTCCTCCAACTGCGTATTCTTCTGATGCTGGTGCTGCTACCGCGACGAAGACGATTACTACTACCACTGTGCTACTACTTCTACTGCGATGGCTTGCACCAGTTCCCAATCCCAAGCACAGCGACTCCTGGCACGACCAGCACCGCGACTACTAGTGTCCAAAGATGCGGCCGCCGGTGGCTACAAATGCCGGCCGGGATGATTACCAATATATTAACAGCAAGATTCTTTTGCCGCTCCTACCTCAAGCGAACGCATTTTTGCAGTGATAACCAGTCCGCTCCAGGTGAAGGGCGTCTACGAATCCTACTTCCTCGAGGTACGTGGGGGTGGGGTCTGCGGGACGTTGTACACTAGGGGGTTCAGGTATTCTCTGGGCTGTTGGACCATATTTCTGCAAGGATGTGCAGATGCGGAAGGGTTTCGTTCCGCATCAGGTTGAAGGTTTCTATCAGGGTGTGCATATCTCGTTGTGTTCCGTGCATCACGGGCTGGACTTTCATTTTCGCCAGTGGTTTTCGGAGCCCGGATTCTGGGTTTGGCTGTACATGTCACGTGTATACATCTATGTACATATGTGGGTGTGGGTCTCTCTCTCTCTCTCTCTCCCTCGCTCTCTCTGCGCGTGTGTGCGTGTGTTCGGGTTTGGTGCCGTGGGTTTGGGGTTCCCAACCTGACACACCCCCGTTAAGGACACACGCTCCAATGACTCTAAACCACAAGCCCTAAGCTTAAAAACCCCTCGGCCCTAACCCTGAACCCGACGCCTTAAGCCAATACCGCGAACCCCCAACCGTAAACCTCAATTGACAGTTCCGGTGGAAATTTATACAGTCAAACTTGGAAACCCCGCCCTCTTCATCTTTCAATCCCCGAAAAAGATGACTGAATCCTTATGCCCTCGCGTCTGAGCTTTGGTGAGTGGAGCTGCCTGTCACCCTGACGCCGAAGTCTCCGGTTGCCCTTGTACTTTCCGGGTACAGTCCTCAGCGCTTCTCGCGCTTGGCGGCCCCCGATTTTTTCGTAGTCTCCTTCTCGTTGCTTCGAAGAATCAGCCTGAGCAGCAGTAATTAGACGTATCGATACAACTGCGTACATAACCATACATGCCCCTAAACCCAATCCCTAAACCCTGATTAAGTCCAAAGCATGATCCCCGTCCAGGTGCAGCGGGAGAATGCGCGACTAAGGGACCCTTTCGGGCTTGGTGAGTTCGCTCGGGGGATGTGGGTCCTTTATGTTCGATTTCCTGTTGTTAGACAGACTTTTCAGAGTGTATAGAGGTCTGAATAAATCCCCAAGGGTCCATGCACCCCAAAATGTACTGTTTATAGGGAGTACTTCATGGCCAAAATATATACTATTGGAGCACATGGGCCCTTAGGGCATAGTCCCCTGACACTCCACAATCTGTGTGCTTTGTATTCTTCAAAACCCTGTTCTCCTTGTTCAGCCCACACCTTGGGCATTTAGGGATGAGGCTTCGGACTGCTTCTGTCAGAGGTCAGGTTTGGGGTTCGGGGTTCAGGATTTCGGATCTAGGAAGGGTGTAGCATGTGGAATGGAAGTGTATAGACCCTATAGAGAGTCCCGCAGTTTAACCTTCTGTTCCTCGATTCAGCTGGACAAGTGAGACTTCCCAACAAGAGCCCACGCAGCTCAAGACCCTTGACAAAGGGGTGTTTCTTCAACTATTTTTTTGTGCTGAGGTTTGAGGCACATGGCCCAAAAAAGCGCTGAACCTTAAACCCTAAACCCAAAAAACCCTGAGCCCTAAACCCTAAACCCATAGCCCAAAAAACCCTGAGCCCTAAACCCTAAACCCATAGCCCAACAAAAAACCCTAAACCCAAGAAGCCCAGAACCCTAAACCCCAAACCCATAGCCCAAAAGAAACCCTGAGCCATGCGTCGCTGCGGCAAGGACTTTGTGGCCACGCTTCAGCGCGCACTGCAGGGGCGAGGTCGTGGAAGTGAGCCACGCATTGCGAGAACATTTGTCTAGGTGGCAGTTTGGGAAACTTGTTAATTAATTTCCCTAGTGGTTCATATAGAGGTATCTAATTATTCATAAATTTCCCTAATGGTTCACATAGAGGTACCTATTCATAAATATTTTTCAGAGCCCCAAAGCTACAACCCAGTTGTCGGAGTGTGAGACCTTCAGGTTTAGGCTTCAGCGCCTGGTTAGGTTTTTTTTTTGAAGGCGACGTTGTGCAGGATGAATAGAGCCTTTATGGTCCTTGGTAGTGGGGTACTTTGGGTTACAGTAGAAGCCAGAAAGTTGGAATATCATTATCGTAACCCCTTTAAGGTAAATTATAGGGGATCCTACCATTAATCCATATTCCAACTTTCTGGCTTCTACTATATGGTAATACAAGATAGCTGGGGGGAGATAAGGACTAAACCTAGTCGCCGTATGATCGTTGTTTGTTTTATGGGGCATGTCCTCGTCTAAACTGCCTGATGCTAGTTTCTAAATATTCTTTCAACTTCGGCTTACTTAAACGCTTAAGCAAGTGACAGTAAGTAACCTCAGACCCCACCCTTCGATGAGTTATGTTGGGAGTTTATCTGGGTGCTCGTTTTCTAGTCCGGTCTAATGCTCAGATTTGGGTAGCCTCCCAAAGTCCTGTGCAAAAGCAACCTTGCTTGACGATGGATCCCTGGTGGCAGAAGAGGAACTCCGAGTCGGTCTGCCAGAGGCCCTTTCTGACTTGGTGATCTGTGATTCGCCGATGTCGGACTTCGGCAGGACAATCTTCCTGGATGGGGGGACAGGGCTTCGCTTCGGTGGTGTGCCTGGTTCTGGCATAGCACAGGCGATTCACGAGGTCCGCGATGTGCAAGCGGCGCATTGCCCACTGTCGCTTGCCCATGTGCAATGTCGCGACTGCCTTTTGTCTGTGTTTCTGTGTCATCGCATCTGAAGCATGGAGGCTCCTTTAAAGCTAAATCCTGAGCTGTATCTCATAGGGCCTCCCTAAGTGTTTTGCTTTGATGGCCCATCCCATAAGATAAAGACCGACGGCTCTGCTTCGTTAGGGTATTGCAGCTTCCTTGGCAGTCATAAACACACTCCTTGTGTTCACTTCGAGCTTGTTAGTTAAGACAGCAGTCACCTTTGTTGGTGGTTCAAACTACGACAGGGGCCTTAATAATTAGGATAGGGTTTTGGGGCCATTAGACTAAAAAATGATAAGAAACCCCAAAAACCGTATTCTAATTACTAAGGCCCCTATACCATAGAGAACCCTACAATAGATCCCTATAGACCCCTTTAAGGAACCCTTTAAAGGAAATTTAAGGGGCCCTTGTATTAAACTTTCCAGGCTCCCGAAGCCCTGCCGAAGGTTAGTGGTTCAATATATCATCTACTATATGTTCTATAGTATCTGTTATATATTACAAAGTCAACATAGTACCTACCTTGACCTACCAAAACCCACATGTTTGTAGGGTCCCTATGAGTTTCATATCAGGGTTTAAATTTAATGAGAGCCCACAAAAGTCTGGGGTTCGGTAGGTTGCGGTATAGTATGTAAAGCTTAACAATCCAGGCTCCCGAAGCCCTGCTGCAGGTGCTGCACAAGCCCCGCTTCGTTGGACGGCTCCAAGTCCAGACAGGGCCTGGCTCTTGAAGGGCACAGGGGTTTAGGAGTTTGGGGGTTTGGGGGTTTAGGGGTTTAGGGCTTTGGGGGTTTGGGGCTTCAGGGGTTTGGGGGTTTAGGGGTTTGGGGGTTTAGGGGTTTAGGGCTTTGGGGGTTTCGGGGTTTAGGGGTTTTATTCTAAGGATCATGGAACTTAGTAGCTAGGGTCATTTTTAACCTAACCAACTGAGTCCCCTGATCGTCCAAGTACTAGGGCTTAACGATAAAGTTTCAAGTGTACACGGCTTGGGGTCCAGGATAGAGGAGAAGGTTCTACAGCATTTTCGGTTTAGCTGAGTGCTTAGGGTTTACACGTTTGGGTTTCTATAAAGATAGTCATAGTACAAGTTTCGTAAACTCGAAGCCAGAACTCCAAAGTCCGAAGCACTAGGCCCCCAACCCAGGCCTTAAATCTCCAAACATTAAGCCCGTTTGCAACCTAAGCATTGCCCTAGGGATCTAAGGACTCAAATGTTAAGGCTTTTGGGCCCAAAGACCATGCTATGCAAGGGTTTTGGGCTATTTTGCAACCCGAGCATTAGAGGAATCCTGAAAGTAATCCCGAACCCCAACACCAGCACCTCAATACCCGAGGCTGACCCTAAACCCCTAAGCCTCTAAAACCTAAAAACCCAAACCCTACCTGAACCCTGCCGCTTGGAGGTTCTATATCTCGATTTCTTATTGTTTGATAAGTCCCTACTTAGTTGGAGTTCCAGATAAACCCTGAAAACCTCGAACTCCTACAGCCTAAAACTTATCTCCAAAAACTTATATGAACCCTAATCCAAACGTCTTTAAATCAAAAACCCTCAACCACCCTTAACCCCAAATCCCTAAACCAAAAAGCCCAAATCCCTAAACCCTAAGCCCTAATAAGCCCTCAACCCCAAAGGCTCCACCCCCACGCGCAAGATTTCTCTTCGCCTCACACGTCCTACCATGTTGAAGCCCGTTCCCGGAACCTTGGGTATCCTAAGCCCGTACACAAATCCTCGACACAATGAAACCCCACCCTAAACACTAGATATAATGTATATGCTGCTGTGTAACCCCTAAACAGTCTAGAAGACACCGAGATTCCTGAATCCGGCTGCCCGGTCTCCTGCTTGGCTCAAATCATCAGCAAAGCGACGCTGGGAGGGGACCTCACTTCTTCGAGGGGCTTTTCCGCTCCCGGGGGCCAAGTCAACAGATGAAAGCATCTGAAGGTGTCTAAAGTTCGTGCATACATCCCCTCCGGAAAAATGTCATGGACCTCCAAAGCTACCAGTCTTGAAAAAGTGTGCTATAGCACTGAAAGGTGTTTCGCTGCGAATAACCAACCCAAAGGGTCCAAGTATCATTATGGCATATACTTAGACCCCCCAAAACCCTATAAGTATATACCATAATGATACTTGGACCCTTTGGGTAAGCCTGATAATTCCTGGATCCCTGCGACTGCCACGGCCTTGCAACCGCCATGCCGGCGCCCTTGCGCACCAACACTCCCAAGACGCTGGCGGCGCTGGGCAAAAAGGCGAGACGACTGGGCCCGAGCTTTGTGGGAGCATGTTCAGGTGTTACGGGCCATTATTGGGGTTTGTGTCAGTGTTTAGTGCTTCAGGGTTTTATGCTTTTGGGTCTTAGGGTTTGGAGGTTGGAGTTTGGGGTTCAGGTGTTTAGGGTACTTAGCAGGCAGCCCTTGCAGTCCAAATAGCCCAAGGTAGGTGCTATTTGTAATCGGCTTTAGAACGCAACTTTGCCATCATTTTGATACAGGCAGCGAATTGTTTCACTGAAGATTTCGCAGTTATTTACAAAACTCGAAAGCGCTTTAGTAGTTCGAGAGGTCCTACCTACCCGGAGCATTCTCTCCCCGCTCCGTTAGTCTGCCTTACCCACAGGCCCCAAAGTAGTTCCTTTTTTGGGATTTCCTCATAGGATTCTAGGTTTGAACGAACTACTATGGAGCCTCTTGGTAAGCCCCAGAACCCTGAAGCCCTCAAGACCCAAAACCTGGCACCAAATCTCATACTGTTGCACCCTAAACCAGTAGCCGACCCTAAACCCTTAACCCTAAAGCCTGAATCCTAAACCCTGATCCCTATAAAGCTTGAACCCTAAACCCTGAACCATAAAGCCTGAATCCTAAACCCTGAACCCTAAGCCAGAAGCTGAGACCTAGAACAGAAAACCTTTAGCCTGAGCCCAAGACTCTGAAATCCGAAGCTTCGCAGCGAAACCCAAGACTCCTGAACCCTGAACCCCTGGTACTTAGAGGATCACGGGCCTTAGTAAGTAAGGTTATAAGTACCCTAATTAAGGTTATAAGTAGATAGAACTATGGTTACCTTACTTATAACCCTACTTACTAAGTCCCCGATCCTCCAAGTATCCATTAGGGTTTAGGAGTTTAGGGTTCAAGGAACCCTCATAGAAACCTAGAGGCCCTTCGCGAAGCACCCTAAAACAACGTGTGAAATCGCTGGTTCACTGACCGCACCAAACCCTTAAAGCACCCTAAACCCTAAAGCCCTAAATCCGAATAAATGGCTGAATGAGAGACCCCGGGGTGTTTGGATGAAGGCACCTGGGGAACCGTCCCTGCATGACACGGCACCTTGCATGGCATCACGAATCCAGGGGGTGGAGGGTTTGGGCTTTTTTGGGTTTCTTGGTTTGGTTTTGGGTTTAGGGCTGAGGGTATTTGGTTTAAGGATTGTAAAGGTCGGGTCTGGGTTTTGGGTGCGGTTGTGTTGCAGGCCGTCGTCAGGTTTCGTTGCGGGGCAAGTGATTTACGGACCGCTGTGGGGGTGTTCTGGCTGAGACGGCCTGCGCCTTGTTGCAGCTTTTCTTTGGCTGTGCGCTCATCTTCGTGGTGTATAGCAGCAATTTATGTTTCAAGTTTACGCTTTTGAAGGTGCACCCTTCCGAGTCGACTGGCAGGATCCTACCTGGACGCTGGACCCTAGATTGTAGCAGCGTAGCACCCTTATTGTGATTATATAATATCCAGAAAACGACCTGTTGAAAATCAGGGCCTCGGTGAGACCTGTCAGTCCCCCAAACTCAAAACCATAAACCCCCAAAACCCGGAACTATAACTCCCCAGCTGCTAGGCTTTCAGCGCAAAAGCTCCAATTATTCCCAAAGCTCCAATCACCACGCCGCCGGGCTTAAACTGAGGCGTCCAGCATCAATCCGCCACCGGGCACCTCCCCCTATCCGCCTTCCATAGAGGCCTTGAGTTGACGGCTTTGCAGGGGCTTGAGTCGTCATTTGCAGCAGTAGTAGTAGTAGTAGTAGTAGTAGTGGTATTAGTAGTCGTCGTCGTCTTAAGCCCTAGATATGGAAGCGAGATCCAAAACTCCTGATCTCCCATCTTGGCCACAAGCCCTCACTCCTATATCCTCTAGTCCAGACTCCTAGATCATACATCCTAAACCCTGAACTCTAAGAGCCCACGGGAGGCCGATGGCAGCATTCGGGCAGACTTGCTTGCTCATCAGCGCCTCGATTGGATGTGGAGCTGTGGCTTGGGGTTTAGGGTTGAGGATTTAGTCTGAAAGATCCGAATTTTGGTTTCGGAGAGGTGCAGGGTTTTTTGTTGAGGATTCAACACCCAAGTCCCGAAATCCTAAACCACACACACCCTAAACCCGAAACCCCGAACCGTGTAGTAGAGGCACCTCGGCGAAAAGAACAGCACCAGGATGTATTCTTTACCAAGTTCTCGGGCCCGCCCGAAACCCCGGCCCGCCGAAGCTCAACTTCGACGCTGATTTTTTCGACCTTCTTCTAAACAGCTGATCGTATTAGGATGGTTCTCTAAATAGCCTAAACCCCAAACCCTGAAACCCGAACCTAACCTTTATACAAAACCCAAGACGCTGTGAGCCTATAAGTACCAGGAAGCGGATAGAGTCGATGATCAACGATCTTGCGGAGAAGCTCCCGTATCTTGTCGGTTTGGGGTTTAGGGTCTTGGCGGGGAGTGTCCAGGTCGGGGGTTTAGAGCTTTTGGGCCTTTAGGTCTTCTTGGGGCAGTGGGGTTGGGCTCTTGGATCTGGGTATTGGGCTGTAGAGTTTGGGAGTTAGGGTTTCGGGTTCAGGGTCTGGGATTGATGTGAGGTTAGTTTCTTTGGGGCTTTGGGGTGGTGCTGTGAGGCTTTCTTGAGGGGGTTCCTTGTAGGGCTGCGGCGAGAGTTCGATGGTGTGGATTTTGACATGGCAATGTCGGAATGTTGGTAGAACAAGCATTGGCAATTCAAGGAGAACGATGCTGTCATTATCAGCAAGCTTGTTAATGATTGTGTTCCCTGGGTTGCATCCGCACCATATTGTCCCTCACTCCTTCTTGACATGTTGCCTACTTCGCACCTAGACCTTGAACCTGATCCCTTAACTGTAATTTGTCAACAGATTCAAGCCTAAATCCTGAGCCCCAATGCCGAAAACCACTGAAAAAGAGATCCCACTCTCCAGGCCAAAAGCCACTCTTAAAGCTTCTAAAATCCAAGACCCCTGCCAAATCCCCAAACGCCCCGAACCCCTGTGCACCACAACCATAGCCTCCCAAATCCTAAACCCTTTAAAGTTCTGAAGTCCCAGGTACTTGACCCTTTAAAGTTCTCAAAACTCCCAACTCCTAACCCTTTCAAGTTCTGAAGTCCCAAATAGACTCTATATATATATATATATCCTATAACAGGATAGTATATATCCTATCAGTTAACAGCCTAAGAAGATTCTTTGGGTACTTGAAACTTCAATCAACCCCGAGTTTCCGAGGCAGATCATCTCCGAGTCTCTGTCTTCCGCCGCCGTGCACATCTGGCATTTAGAGTGTACCCTACTTAAAGGATCATGGGACTTAGTAACTAGGGTTATAATTAGGGTAACTATACTTATAACCCCAATGAAGGTACTTATAACCTTACTTACTAAGTCCCACGATCCTCCAAGTAAGGACTGATGTATTAATGCTTTTGGG